GCTCCTCCTCCTCCTCCTCCTCCTGCTCCTCCTCATCCTCCTCCTCCTCCGCCTTCTCCTCCCGCCTCCCTCCTCCTTGCTCTCTCCTCCCTCCTTCCTCCCACCTCCCTTCTCCCTCCTCCTCCTCCTGCTGCTCCTCCTGCTCCTCCTGCTCCTCCTCCTCCTCCTCCTCCTCCTCCTCCTGAGGTCTCAATCCGGTCCCCAGGACCAGTTCTCCGTCCCAAGTCTTTCTCTGACGCGCCCAGGATCCAGCGAGGGCCCCCCCAAATCAGAAGATAGCAACAAGCCCTCCGTGTTTTACTCGACGCGAGGGGGCAGGCTTGGGTGACCGCGGGGGGTGCGAAGGGGATGGTGGGATCACAAGTGAGTGCGAACGTGGGTCACATCTGGCCTCACATGCTGGAAGTGCCCCGAGTGGCTTGGGTGGGTGCGACAACTCCGCTGAGTGGGCGGAGCCCACTTAGCTCGGATCGCTACCACCCAGTATCACTGGACCCACTCATAAACTGTATTGGGCCATGTATGAGCCATCTTGGCATTCACTCGCAGCCCCTCCGACCCCCTGGCAACCGCTGAAATGATTCTTGGGAAACCAAGGGGTGACGATACCGTTACTCCCCGGACCTCTGCAGAGGCGCGGTCCGACCAGAATTTCGAGGCGCAACGAGGGCCTCCCTGGGGGCCCCCAAAGAGGAACACGAGGCAAGGATAGCAGTCTGGGTATCAAGACTCGAGCTAAACAATGCTTTCCGTGTTCGTTTTGTTTTCCTTTCCTCTCGTTCTGTCTTCATTGCGCCCTTTACTGGAACCCGAAGCCAAAACGGAAACGGTCCATGACATCGCGAAAACACCGTTTGGCTCGCGCCCTGGGGCACCTGTCCCTCCCCTGAGGTTCGACCGGAGGTGCGCTCTCCTCGCCACCGCTCGGACGCCCATTCCCTGGGCACCTGTCGGTGTCGCGCGTCTTTTCCGCAGGGTCCACAACAATGCTCCCCGATGGCCCTTGCCGAGGAGGAGGAGGAGGAGGAGGAGGAGGAGGAGGGTCCGTAGCCATTTTGGCTCAAGCCTGCCTGGGCGCGTGGCAGGAGGAGCGCGCCGTGCCTCTCCCTGTAGAGCCCTGTCATCTCGGCAGGCACAGAGAGCGGCTCAGTCTCTTTCCCCCTGCGCGCGCGCGGATCATGGCTACGGGGGGCGGCCGCACCAGCAGCTGGCTGCCCGGACCACTCCGTACCGACGAGGCGGCCGCCGCAGGGCCGTCTGCGGCTCGGCGCGCGGCCCGAGCGCGTGCCCGTCTGGCCTGCGAGGCGGCCCTCCGCAGGGCCCTCGGCAGCAAGGACCACGCGCCGGGGTCCTGGCGGGACCGCGAGGTCGCCTCGCGACCAGCGCTCCAGGCCCTTGCATCTCGCAGAAGGGTGCCAGGCGCCGCGCGTCGGAGGCGCAACGCGGCATGGCACGCCGCAGACGCCCCGGAGGGAGGCTTCACGCACGCCACCCAGGCTGCTCTTGCCAAGGCGGCGGCGGGCCCCCGCCTCGGACGGCCGAGCCTCACTGGGGCCAATTACAAGTACATCGTCGTGGAGGTACCACAGGGCTGCTGGACCGCCTCGCCGCTGACACCTCTGAGTGGAGCCGCCGCAGAGGCCGCCCATCACGGCGCGCGGAGCGTGCCTGGCGTCGCCTACCCGACGGACGCCAACCTCTCCCAGGTGGCGGATCGGGCGCTCCGCGCGGCCGTCGCGCGCCGGAGCCGGGAATACGAGGACGACGGCTACGACGGCTACAACCACGGCGACCCCGACGGCTACGACGGCTACGACCACGACAGCTACGACCACGGGGACCCAGTCCAGTCCGAGGATGCGGAGGAGTCGCCCTTCGTGGAGGCGTTCGGGATGACGGAGGACGGCTACCACGACAACGGCGGCTACGATTGCACCGACGAGCGCGGCTACGTCGGCAACAGCGACCTCCGCTCCTACGACGGCTGGCGGCCGAGCCTCCGCCCCCCGCCCAGCAAGGAGGAGGTGGAGGACGAAATGCGGAGAGCACGAGCGCCCACTGAGAAGATAGAGTACGATTCCGACGCGGACCCAGAGGACCACGAGAGCTACGACGGCTGCGACTACGGCGGCTACGACGGCTACGACAGCGAGACCCACCAGGCGCTGCACCGCACGAGCAGGGAGCTTGATGGGGAGAGCGCGGTCGACAGCTTCGTCATACCAAGTACCCGCAGTGGATCGGCCTCACGGCGGGATTGGCCCCCCCAAAAGGGCCCCCCGAGTTACGACGGCTACGACTACGGCGAACACGACGGCTACGGCAGCAAGACCCACCTTGCGCTGCACGGCACGAACAGGGAGCTTTGTGCGGAGAGCGCGCTCGACAGCGTCGCCATACCAAGTACCAGCAGTGGATCAGCTTCACGGTGGGATTGGGCCCCCCAAAACGGCCCCCCGCCGTTCGAGACCAACGAGACGAGCGAGCAGAAGGCGCTGCACGGGCACGAACAGGGAGCTGGACAGGGAGCTGGACGGGGAGCTGGACTGGAGGAGAGCAAGCGGAGCAGCGGCGACGACCCCCCAGAGCCCCACAAGAAGGTGCGCTTCTGCTTGCACGAGGATGTGGATGGCCACTTCGAGGCGGAGAGGCGCCCGGGATCGTGAAGAACTCGTTCGGCGCCCCCCTGGAGGTGATCATCCGGCCAGGCCGTGCGCCGTGCTGCCTGACGCCCGCGGGCGCGGGCGCGCGCGGCGCCCGCTCAAGGGCCCTGTCGGGCCTCCCTCTTTTTGGGAAAACCCGGCCCCTCTCCCCTCTTCCGAGGTTTTTGGTCCCTGGTCCTCTCTCTTCCTCGGGGTCGGGTTCCCGGGGCCGTCGTCTGAGTGCCCGCACGGCCCTCGTGGGCTGCTGCGGCGCGCTCCGCGCCCCGGGCGCATGAGAAGACGCTGGCTGAGCGAGAAACGTAGAAACGTAGGAGGAGGAGGAGGAGGAGGAGGAGGAGGAGGAGGAGGAGGAGGAGGAGGAGGAGGAGGAGGAGGAGATTTCTCCCCTCGGCCCCTCGCGGCCTCGGCCCCGAGGTCCCGCGAGCGGCCCGCCAGGCGGTCCAGCTCGGCGGCCGCGCGGCGCACCGCGTCGCCCAGCGGGGCGAGCGAGGCCGCGATGCCCCGCACCTGCGGCTCCCAGTCGCTCCGCGCCCGCGCCTGCGCCCCGCGGAGCTGCGCCACCTCGGCCTGGAGCGCCTCTCGAGGGGGGAGCGATGCTTGGGCGCCCGAGTTATCCGGGGTAACTCGGGTTTGGGTTCCCGAAAAAGGAACCCGAGTTAGCCCTGACCCGAAATACCCCTGGTGATTCGGGGCTCTGGACGCCCGAATTATCCGGGGTAACTCGGGTCCGGGGTAACTCGGGTTTGGATTCCCGAAAAACGAACCCGAGATCCCTGACCCGAGTTACCCCTGGTGATTCGGGGCTCTGAGATGCGGTCCTCCTGCCTCTGCGGCGAGGAGGCCAGCCTCAGATCCCGGCGTCGCATCTTCCGTTCGCACCGGGCCTTCGCGACTGCTTCTCGGGCCCCGGGAGACCCTCCCAGATCGGTCGGGCTCGGAAGATGCTGCAGAAGGATGGGGCCTAGGGATTTCTTGCGATGTTGCCATGTTCTGAATTCTGAAGCGTCAGATCTGAGGGAACGCTGAAATTGCCCCAGCACAACTCCCTCACAGCAGCAAAAGTGAATAGGCGGGTCAAGGAGACGGATCTCGGTCAGCGACAACGTGCAACCCTCTGTATTCCTCGGGGCTACTGGGAAAGATGCAGCCAGGACTACAAGGTTTTCTGTGTTCGAATGGGGTTTTCTGCGTCCCGATGAGGCTTTCTGTATCCAGATTGCGGCTTCATGTGTTCCAATATGCGTTCCTTGGATGCCCTTGGGGATCCTATGGGAGATCTGTTGGAATCCGATGGAAGCCTACTGGAAATCCTTCGCCAGTCCAAGAAATCCGCGAAGACCTCCGAAAGTTTGCGTGCGTGCCGCTTTCCCCGAATTCGGCGGTGGACGAACCTCACTGTAACAAACCACCCTCTAGTGAAAACGGCCTAGGACCGAAACCGACATGGACCCGCAAAAATAAAGGCCGCGACGCCCTCTCGCGAACCGAGAACGGCCAATTCGCTAATCGACGTGTCAGGGTAGGAGGTCTATCAACCTCCGAATAGCAATTCGCTAGAGGGTTCCAACCTTGGTAAGGACCACAGCAAAATTCCACAGGGGGGACCAGGAACCCCAGACAGTCACGTCTGGCAGCGGTTTCCCCGGAGACTTCCTTAATATATTCAGGAATCGCGCTCTCGCCTCCATGCCGGCCACATGTTAGGTTTAGGTCGGGCGTGTCCCCCTACAGGGGGATTTTGACCGGAAAATGAAACATACTCAAAAAATACACCCCGAATGGGCAAAACATAATCAAACAATCGCCCCCAGACATTAAAAAATAACTATTTTTGAACATCCCTCCTCTAGAGGGACAGGCCCGACCTAAAGTTAGGTCCGGACGGCCACGATCCCCTGTGGGAGATCCGGTGCACAAGACCGTGCTCTCGTCTCTGTCCTTGCAGCATCTGGCCTGAGAACCCCTGGGAAGAAGAGAGAAACACTAGGAACGCACGTGTTCGCCGGCCGACCTCCATTCTGACGGGGCCCCGGGGCACACAAATAAATAAACGCAAATAACAGGATGCCCCATCTGTTCCCATGCTTTCTGTTATTTTTTCATTCCCCTCACTTCCAATATTTTCCCGTATCTTCTGAGGAATCGTCGATTACTTGTGTCTGCGTTCATTTCCCTCCTAACACTCCTCGACGCGCCTCTTCACCCCTTTGCTGCTATCAGGGTGACCTGCTGGGGCAATCCGGTCACGGCGAGCCTCGGCCAGCATGAATAGGGAACGACCCTGAAACCAGGACCCCTCTTGAACCCGACGTCGTCCTTACTTACGTCCGCGTCAGGACGGCAGGGGGGGCCCGCTCAATTAGAAGAAGAACAGGAAGGGAATGCAGGGCCGCTCTGATGATGTGATTTTGCAAACACTCCATCTTGTGCCACGGCCGCTGCGTCTCGGAGCGAGCGGACGGGACGCACGAGAACCTCGAAAGAAAAAACAATGATCGAAACTGGACAGAACATTCTGACAACCTGACAACGAGCCTCAGGCTTTGGGCTGGCGCAGGGAGGCGAGAGAAGAGGCTTGGGCCGCAAAGGTTGCGGACCAGCACGCGGACCATCTCCCCTCCCTCACGCGCGCGCGCCCCCAGGAGGGGAATGCAGGGCCGCCCTGATGATGCCATTTTGCAAACACTCCATCTTGTGCCACGGCCGCTGCGTCTCGGAGCGAGCGGGCGGGAGGCACGATAGTCTCGAAAGAAAAAGCAGTGAGCGAAACTGGACAGAACATTCTGACAACCCAATCCTCCCGCACCGAAGGGAAGTGTAGCTGTCTAAAAACATATGCAGTGTGCGCCTTCGAGACCAACATAGATGCAAACGTGTGGGCAGCACGGGCAGGACAAGGCATTGCGATGACAGTCCAGCGAACTCCCCCAGGCCAGGCTCCCTCGAGGTGTTGGTGGGGGCGCCCAGTGCGGCTGCAGATACTTCGGCCAGGACAGATCCGACTGAGTTTGGTCAGGTCTTCCACTGGGGCGTTTCCAACCAAAAAACCTAATTCTTTTCCTCCAGGGCTTTCCCCAGAGGCAGTATTCTGCGACCACAGAGACGGCGCGGCTGCGCGCAGCAAAAACTTTCAACTTGACCGTGCCACATCTTAGAGGTGCGCGGGCTCTCGAGGACCCAGGGGGCCCCGGCGGACTGAGCGGACCTGGCCAGATCGAGAGCGGCGTCCAGCGTGGATTGCCGAGAAAACCTTGGCCAGGTCGGGGGCGCTGAGATCTGGGATCCCCTTGATAAACTTGCGAGTCCGAATTGGATAAGTCCGATCTCGCGCAGCTGACCACGAGCTGCAGGGTAGAGCAGGCATCAGGCCGATGCAGCGCCCGCGGGCGAGGTCCTGTTTGATGGGCCTGCGGATTCTGGGGTCGCACAGGTCAGAAGACGGCCCGTGGAGAAGGTTCCATTCACGAGAGTTAAACCCAGCCAGAGGAATCGTCTCACTCACAACCCCGCAGCCCGAAAAACAATCGGCAAATTATGTCTGATCTACACAAGCTGACGACCGAAAACAAGAGGGGGGCGCGTGCCGAGGAACACGCTCCAGCGCAGTGACTCACACCGCGTGCCGTGGCTTCGGGTCGGGGCGTTCAGCTTCCCGATCTCCAGATCCACGCGCGCGCATCTCGTGCCGAGCAGCAGACTCGAGCTTGCGCCAGCGCCCCTTCATCAGTTCTGGCAGGCCGCGAGGGTTGCGAAGCCGGTCGTGCGAGGCTACGCTGTGTCGGGGCTGGTGAGGCACTAGCATCGGCACGAGTGTCGCGTCGACAGCCATGTCGGCCAGCAGGACCTGGTAAGTGAACGGAAAGGGCCAGCTTTGCCGCCGGCCTCGAGTTGTTCTCCTTCCGAACCTCGTCGAGCCACTTGAGCGATCCCATGTCCTGCTGAAAGCTGCCGTTGAGCAATCCCACCTTGGCAGGGATTCCTGCTTCTCTGGGGCGCGCAGCTGGCACCAGTGTCTGGAATCCCCGTTCCCTGGGGGTACGAAGTGGCCGCGCCAATTGCTCAGCAGCTCCGGCAGCCCCTGGGAGCACATGAAGCCCAGCAGGGCCGCCCCCGCCTCGTAGATGCCTCGCGCCAACAGCCCGAGCTGAACCGCCGCCCACGCGCAGAAGGGCTTCGGGTGGCGGCTTCGACCCGGGCACAGATGGGGCCAACCCTTCACCGCCCTCCACGAACCTGGGAGCGAAAAACGGCGGGCGGAGGCCATGGACACAGTCGTACAACCGGGAGACCAGGGGGTGGTAGCAGTCCCTGTCCTTGGTCCGCATAAGACTCCAGCAGGGTCTTCAGCTGGCCCATAGCATGGCAGGCGCTGACGAGGGTCTCGGCGCGCCTGCATGCGCACCGGCCCCTCGTGGCGTCGTCCAGGTCGTCGCTGCCCGAGCCCTGCGCTGCGCCCGCCGCCTCGCCGCTGCCCAGGTCGGCGTCAGCCTCCTCGAGGCCGTCGCTGAGCAGGGCCTTGCCGAAGGCCTCCTTCACCGATGGGTCCTCCAGCTTCGGCGCCAGCAGCTGGATCGGCAGCGCCGGCACCGCGACCTTCAGGCTCCGCTTCGTGCTCTGGACCTCCACCGGCGGCTGCGCCAGGGAGGCGCACTGGGCCTGGCAGGTCGGCGTCGGTTTCGCTGGCGCGGGAGCGGCCAGGCGGGCTCGCCGCCTGGGGGCCGCGGTCCGCCGCGAGACCGCAGGCCTGCGGCCGAGGCCTCCCTCCATCATCAGCGTCTCGCAATGGGTCATCGGCCGGATTGAACTCTGACTTGATCCAGCGGAAATGCGGGCGAGTATTATGAATAGGACACTAGGCGCGAAAGCGCCGAATCTGCCGTAGCACTAGAAAGTTTTTGCATCTTCCCCGAGCGAACAAGAATGTGATAGCCATGTTGTCGATCAAGAAAAGGTTTCGGCTGTTTCGAACTCCGTCAGCGATCAGACTCTCCAGTCCTAGAACTAGTGCCCGAGCTTCTAACTTCAGAATGCGTTCTCCAAGATTCCACTTACCATTTCCAGCAACTCTCCAAGGTGATATCAAATCGGACTCGGCGATGCAGCCCCGGGCTGAGAAGACGCCCCCCCCCCCCCCCGAACGGCACCTTCGGAAACGGGCTGTCAATCGGCCAGACCACCTCCCCAGACGACAACGGCAGGGCTTCCCCGATGTCGATGATGGTGGTGGCGTCGGTGAACGGTAGCGGATGGTGATTGTCACGGTCTTCCTCCAACGGATACAGTGCTGCGCTCGCTGCCTCTCGAGCTCCAAGGCTGTGCGCACGACGAAATCGAGAAACCTCTGGGGCGCGAGCGATGCTAGCCGCAGCCTCGGCCGTCATCGAGCAACGGCAGTGCCCCCATCCCTCGAGGGAGGCATCTGCAGCTACTACTGTCTCGCACCAGGGTAGGTCCCACGGCGCCCGCACCAGGGGCAGGAGCCCGATGAAAGCCTGGAGCTCCTGCCGTGCGGTCAGCCGCACCTCGGCCGCGGCGTCGCCGTACCGATGGATAAAAGCGTAGCAGGCGTTAAACGCGCTCAGCGCCATCAGACCCAGCAGGCTAACAAAAGTGGCGTGCCCGACGAGTCGCTCCAGCTGCTTGCCACTGAGGCGTCGCCGCCGAAGGGCCCAACGAAAAGCGCCATCGATGCGCCACCTCCGCTTCTCGGTCACCTGCGTCTCGAGCCGGTGGCCGTCCAATGCGCAGCCCAGCGTCTCGCCCCCGCCGCCCTTCAGCTCGTGCTCGTGGGTCTTCAGGCCGACGGCGTCAAGGGCAGGTCAGCCCTTGTTGAGGGCCGGGCCCGCAGGTTGCTCCGCGCTGCCCACCGCGTCCAGGTTATCAGCGCACAGAGCATACCTCACGCCAGCCCCCTTGCTCAGCACGATCGGGGCGGTGTAGTCAGACGCCCTCCTGTCGGGCCCGAGCTGGTGCACCTTGTTGAGGATCACCTCGCTGCACTTTTGGGCGACCCACAGACCGCGCGCATCCCATTGGACACGAGGCCGGGCAAAGGTGCACCGATGTCTCCCGCGCCAGACTGCCCCGCAGGGGCGTGTACTTCGCGGGGGTCGGATGCAGGGCGAAACGCCGGTTCATGCCGTCGGGGAGCCGCAGCCGATGGAAGCAGTTCTCGACGTCCCCGATGCCCAGCGTGACGGTGCACTCGGGGTCCTCACTGAAATCCGACTCGCACTCGATCCTGGACAGTCCCTCGCTTGTGATCAGGTCGGTATGTGGAGGGGCTCTGAACCGACGGTTGCCCCGCCCAGCATCGATGATGAGCCTCAGGGACTTGGCTTTTTTACAAACAAAAACATACCTGCGTGCTCGATGGGCTCGCGGTGGTCCACCGGGTCATGCCTCGGCGCCCCAGGTCCAAAATGAACTGCCGGTAGGTCTCCTTGTTCTGCGACAGCTTCTTGTCCCAGAACGGTTTGATCTCGCCCAGCCTCTCGTTGAGCTTGTTAAACTCATCGGTATACCGCATCGTGCTCTTTTGCCGAACCTCGATGATCAGGCGGTCCTCAGCGCCCAGTACCTCCGTCACGACTGCTGCATCGGACGTGCTCGGGGAACGCGACGGAAACCTAATCGTAGGGCGCGACGGCGGTGTAGGTCTCCTCGGCGTCGTAGCTGAGGTGGCCTCGGAGAAGCACGCGAGCGGCTTCTTCCTGGGAAGGCGCCGCCACCGGCTTCGCGATGACAGGGGCGACAAGCTCCGCCGCGGCCTCCTTCTCGAATTCAATCGCGCCTGGCGGCCCAGAGGTCCGCGAACCCAAGCGCCAATGGAGCGCATTCACGGTGTCGTTCTTGCGCTTGAGCTCCTCCGCGCCTACTCCGCGTCGGCGTCTGAACCGGCGAGAGCCGGCCCCCGCCCGGGACGGGATGTCGAAGGTGAGCAGGCGGTGATGCACCCCCATGCAAGGCCTGGTAGAAACGACGGGGGCTGGCCCACTTCCCCCGCCGCTCGCCTCCTTCGTGGCGCTGGCGGGGGCGCTGGGGGCCCAGGCTTGCCTTTTCTGGTCTTGCCCCCTGCTCCTTGGCCCCCGCCGCCTCTGTTGCCATCGGCGCTGGTCCCCGCGCTGGCCGCGCCCAAGTCGTCCTCGTCGAGACCGCCCCCCTGCGGCTTGGCCAGCTTGCCGCGCTGCGCGCCCCCCTCTAGCGCCGTCTCCTCGAGCGCCTTCCCGTCGTAGACGCGAAGGTCGGGGGCCGCCGCGCCCTCCAGCGTCGCGGCCCCCGAGTGCACGTCCGCCATGCCGTCGCTCGGCCTCGCGTCCGGCGCCGAGCGGGCCTCCCGAAGCGTCCGGGCGCGCCTCGTCGTCACCCCGTTCACGACCAGGCATGGCATGTTCACCTGGTCATAGCACCCGAAACACTCGAAGCTCTCCGCGGATGCCCGCAGCTCGCGGAGTAGGCGGCGCGCTTCCTCATTCTCCGCGCCTCCGGTCTGGCCGCTACCATCGGCCGAGAACGGTCGAGGCGCTTCATCGCGCAGTGGGTGGCGCGCGGGCCCCCGAACGGCCCGTCCCTGGAGGCGTGGAAAGTGGACTCCCTGCGCACCTCCTTCCAGTCCTTGTGCCGCTCTCCCAGCGAATCCCCGTCGACCTCCAGCGCGCGCATCCGCCACCCGCCACGACCTCATTGCTGGTCGCCGGGGCCCCCGCTCCGGGCGGCGGCTCCCCGAGGATGCGCTCGTTGAGGGGGCTGCCCGCGCCAGCGGCCGCGGGCCTCGCGGGCGCCCGCCCCTTGCCGGAGAGCGCCGACGGGGCCCTCGTCGAGGGGGCGGCGATCATCGGTGCTTCGGGGCCGGTGTCTGAGACGGCCACGCCGAAAAGCGGGCCTGAGAGCAGCCGCGGGCTCGAGGCCATGAGGTCCAGGAACCCTCTGCGCTGGATCCGGCGATCGAGCTGCGCGAGGTCCACAGCCTCCAATCCCCGCTGGCGCTTCCCAGGGCCCTTGATGCCCACCACCTCATTGTACCTGGCGGTGTCCTCCACGTAGACGTCCTCCTGGGCCGCGTAGATCACCCAGACCGACGCCGCGAGGGGCCAGACCACTCCACGTTCATGGCCCACGCGTCTACCCCGAAGAACACCGCGAACATCTGCCCGGGCAGGGGCGTGAGGAGGTCGACGTTCGCCATGCCCCCACGGCTCGGTGCGGCACCCGCATGCGATGATCACCTCACCAGCGAAGATAGACACCGCGCCGAAGATAAAGTGCAAGAAACTGGCCGTCGAGAAGTTCCCGTACACCAGCTCCGTCAATTACACCACCGCCGGCTCGCACTCCGGTCTCCAGGGTAGTCCAGAGTCCTCCTCGCACCTCTTGGGTGGCCTGGCAAGGGGTGCAACTCTCGGCGGCCTCGTCGCACCCCTCGGGTGCTGGGCATGGGGTGCGCGCCTCGCGCTCGCCGCAAGCCTCGCACTCCATCGCGCGAGCGGGCACCTCTGTGTCCTCCTCCGCCTCTCGGCGGGCGGCCGCCTGCTGCTGGGCCACCGCCGGAGTGAAGCGCGAACTCGCCCAGCCGCAGCGCGCCTTCCAGTCCGAGCCTTCGCCGGTCCGCCGGGCGATCCGCCAGGAGAGGCCCCAGCACTGCCGGGCAAGGGCCGGCGAGGAAGGACAGAGCGCAGGGGCGGGGCATGATTGCCTGACTTCGGGCGAGACAAGAGGCTTGGGCCGCAAAGGTTTCGGACCAACACGCGGACCAGCTCCCCTCCTCACCCGTCCGCCCCGACCCCATTATTTCGGCACGGCACACCCCCTCCGCATCCCCCCCGCCCACTGGTCAGCGCGCCCCTCCGCCCCGACACCTTGTGTCGGCAGGGCACACCCCTTCCGCATCCTCCCGCCCACCAGCCAGCGCGCCCCTCCGCCCCGACCCCTTCATTTTGGCACGGCACACCCCCTCCGGCGCACCCCCTCCGCCCCGCGACACCTTTATTTCGGCACGGCCCCCACTCCCTCCCCGCGCGCCCCGCGCGCCCCCTCCGCATTCCCCCCGCCCGCCAGCAAGCGCGCCCCCCCGTTATTACGCCCCCCCCACCCACCCACTCACAAGCCAGCACGCGCCTCCGCCCCGACCCCTCTATTTCGGCACGGCACACCCCTCCGAGCCTCCCCCTTCCTTATAGTGCAAGAGCCATGGCACACGTGCCACTTGTTATGTTTATTCTTCTTCGATTATGGGGGGGAACATCCAGTTCGAATCGGCGAGATGTGTTGCCGATGGATCGGAAACACAGGCCCCCGACGGGGAAATCGGACGTTCACAGGCGGGGTGGCGGCCCAAATATTGGCGACGAGCGGGCGACTGGGCGCTTCTCGGCCTGGAGCACCTCTCGGGCGCTGGCTGCTTGGGCGCCTGGTTAGGGGAACGAGCAATGATGGCATAAACATAAAAACTCGAAGGTCCGCGCGGATTTCTCAGATCGGCGCTGGACCCCCCTCCCCGGCGCGCGGAGCGCGCCAGGGGCGGCGCCAGAGGCGCCGCCGGGGGGCCCCAGCGCCGATCCGAGAAATCCATGCGGACCTTCGAGTTTTTCTGTTTATGTCATTCTTCGTTTCCCTATTGGTAGCGAGGGGGGCAATCACTGGGGGGGGGGATGAAAGATTTTATGAAGGTGGCCCCGAAAGACCCCAAAATGGCCCCACCACTGCCGCCGCTGGCCTCACGTGAGGGCCATGGAGTGGCGCGCGTTTCTTCACCTCCCGTGTTGCCGAACGCTCCGAGGCTAGACCCTCTCGATCTGGGCGTCGCAGCTCTTATTTATACCGGGCGCTTGCTCGCCAGAACCTTCAGGCCCTGGGGGCCCTCGCGGACCAGTCCAGCTCGAGAGATACCTTCGAGGGGCTCTGGTCGTGATCCGCCACAGACAGGCTCAGGCCAGATGCATTCCACCTTCGCATCCACTTTCAACCCCCTATCCCCTTGGCACGCCCCGCGGTGATCCAAGCAGCAACGCCACCCGACCCTTTCCCCGGAGCCAACTTTTCATCCCGAATCGTTAATTGTTATGACGGCCCTGGGGCCTTGCTAGGGCCCCCGGAGGCCGACAAAGGACGAACGATCTCCGCCCTGATTCTTCTCAAGGCGCTGGATGTCTGCGTCCGGGACCCGGGGTGGGCCGGAAACGCCCAAATCGAACAGTGCGGCATGGCGACCCCAATCTCCGACTTCGTCTATGGGGCCACGGATCGGGCGAGGGGTGTGGCAAAATGGACAAAGGGACGCTGTGCTCGGTGGAACTCCCGGGAGCTCCGGTGGAGCAGAATCGCGTGCCACCTCACTCGTCGGATGATGACTTGGGTCTTCGGCAACCAGTCGGGACGATCCGGGCGCACCCGAAACGACCCTGGGCGAGGCGCAGCTGCTCGAGCGCAGAACGAGGCTGGAAAACCGTCGAGAACCGACTGGACATCAGAAAACCTCAAACCTCGAACCCTCGTCCCCGATCCTTGGATCGTCCTGGACGCGGAGCGCGCGAGGGCAACACCAGAAACCCCGTCAGGGAGGTCGTAGCGCCGATGCGAGATATCCGCGCGGACATCCGAAAACTTCTGCTTATGCAGTTCATTCTTCGAGAATGACATGAACCCTGTAGGGTGGGCGGGAAGCGTCCACGATCCGTCGGCGGCGCCAGGAAATGGCCAAGGTTAGCTACAATCCTCAAGAGCGGCGCCGCCGCGAATCGTGATATCTCTGGCCCCCTCCCCTCTGGTAACGGCCTTTCTCGCGCGAGGAGAAAAACTGGCCCGACCAGGACTCCGAGCCTTGAAAAACGCCGAGAACCGACGGAAACATTCGTCGAAAGCCTCAAACCTCGAACTCTCGTCCGCGATCCTCGATGCCAGGAGGGAGGAGGAAGGGGCGAATCAAGAGGAAAGGAAGAGGGGGAGGAGGAGGAGGAGGAGGAGGAGGAGGAGGAGGAGGAGGAGGATGAGGAGGAGAAGGAGGGGGAGAAGGAGGAAGAGGAGGAGGAGCAGGAGGAGGGGAGGGAGGAGGAGGAGGAGGAAAAGGAGGAGGAGGAGGAGCAGCAGCAGCAGCAGAGGAGGAGGAGGAGGAGGAGGAGCGACCAAGCGCCCCCCCCTGACTGCATTGAACAGAACACCTCGAGCCTCGGACCCCCGCCTCCGATCCTTGGATCCTCCTCCTGCCCGCGCCCCCCGCCTGGAGCAGCCCTACCAGCCTCTGGGAGGCGCCCTCGGCGCCGGCGCGCAGCCGCTCGTCCTCGACCTGCCGGCGCCTCAGGGCGTGGCACTCCGCGTCCTCTGGCGGGTGAGCGGTTGCAGGTTTCCTCGCGAGGCCTCCTCCCGAGGAAACCTGCTGCGGCGGCGCCCGTGGGCGCGGCGGGGGGCGCGAGGGCAATGCTGGAGCCCTCCTCGGCGAAACACCGTTTGGAAAACATCCTGCCCCCCCCCCTTCTCCTCCTCCTGCTCCTCCTCCTCCTCCTACTCCTCCTCCTCCTCCTCCTCCTCCTCCTCATTCTCCTCCTCCTCCTCCTCCTCCTCCTCCTCCTCCTCCTCCTCCTCCTCCTCCTCCTCCTCCACGGGGTCTCTGAGACACGTTTTCCGGAAATTTGCTGGGCTTTGCAGGATCATGCACTGCACCCAAGCCCGCCCGGGTCAGCGCACCCCTGGCGCTGCAGGATCCTGCAAAATCCCGCGCTCTGGCTGACCCCCGTTTGCGTTGACCTCCGTCTCTGGAGACCCGAGTTTGGAGGGCGAGTGGTGGTGCCAGGCGGCGGGGTGCAGAGAGACGTGGCCTTCAGCCGTCCTCCTCCTCCTCCCCCTCCTCCTCCGCCTCCTCCTTCTCTACCTCCTCCTCCTCCTCCTCCGCCTCCTCCTCCTCCTCATCATCATCCCTCTTTCCCGATACTCTCCCTCCGCCTCCTCCTCCTCCTCCTCCTCCTCCTCCTCCTCCTCCTCATGTTCTTCCTCCTCCTCCTCCACCTCCTCCGCCTCCTCCTCTCCTCCCTCCTCCTCCCTCCTCCTCCTCCTCCCCCTCCTCCCCCTTCCTGCCCCCCCTCCTCCTGCTCCTCCTCTCCCTCTTCTGCTCCTCCTTTCCTCATCCTGATCCTCCTCCTCCGACTCCGCGCCACGTCCTCGACACAACCTGACGCCAAGCCAGCCTTCAGCGCGAGCCCGCAGGGCTAGAAGTCGTCCTCTCCTCCTCCTCTTCCTCCTCTCTGCCAGTTTCGTCCGCCCCCCCGAAAGACTTCGAGGCCCCCAATCCCCAGCCCCCAGAGCCCCACAGAGCCTCCAAGAGCACCCTAAAAACCTTGAAGCCCAAGGGCGTCTCCTTCGACGATTCTCAGAGCGTGCGTCAGCGCAGACGCGTGCTTGGCCACCCAGGCCCTTCAGTGCGACGCAGGCAGTGCAGCGAGGACCGACGCAGGCGGTGTGCGATCGATGAAGCTGGCAAAGGGGCAAACACAAGCTGGGATAGCACACGTCCCGAGGGTCTAAGCCAGCTGCCTTCGCGGGCCGCGCCCCGCGACGCGCGGTCATCTGCGCGCCCTCGCGCCGCCGCCCCAGAGAAGTGCACCTTTGGGGCCGAGGCCGCGAGGGCGCGACGAGCGATCATCTTCTCGCCTCGAGGGACGACCTCAATCATCGACTGGTCCTCCGCCTCCTCCTCCCCCTCCTCCTCCTCCCCCTCCTCCTCCTACGCTGAGGAAGGAGGAGGAGGAGGAGGAGGAGGAGGAGGAGGAGGAGGAGGAGGAGGAGGAGGAGGAGGAGGGGAGGAAGGAGGAGGAGGAGGAAGGAGGAGGAGGAGGAGGAGGAGGAAGAGGAGGAGGAGCAGCAGAGGGGGAGGAGGAGCGATCAAGCGCACCTCCCCCGACTGCATTGAACAGAACACCTCGAGCCTCGGACCCCCGCCCCCCATCCCCAGACCCTCCTGATGGGTGGAGGCGGAGACCGGCAAGAACTAACCTTTTGCACAACAAGCAGTGCGCCACCAGCAGCGTTGGCCCGGCCCGCGCGGGCAACCCAACTGGCGCACACAAAGTCTCCTGGCCCATGCTGGCAGGGCTCATACCACGCACCGGTGTCAGGGGCCCAAGGTGCCCCGTGCTGGGGCTGGCGGTGTTTACCTGCAGATGTGGCAGCAACGAAGGTGTGCTAACCTCAGAAGGAGCCGAAAACTCAAATAAACACAACTTCTCGGATGTCATCGCGGACTTCTCGGATCGGCGCCGGACCTCGGCTCTCTGGCGGGCAAAGCGCACCAGGGGTGGCGCCAGAGGCGCTGCCAGGGGGGCCCAACGCCGATCCCAGCGATCCGCGCGGGCCTCCGAAAGTTTCTGTTCATGCAGATGTGTCGTCTATGATATCTGCAGGTTTTCCATGGGCGAGGGTGACAATCTACGACTGGAATTGATATACCTTCGAAAGTATCGCTCACCCCTCCCAAACCTCCGACGTCGCGATGTTGCGCGGGCCGTGGAGCCCTCCCGATCCATCCCATGAGCGATGTTTCATCACAGATCGCGTCTGCTAATTAGGCCCCTGAGTGCGACAGCGGCCCCTGGAAACCGAAATAGTCAGAAGAACAATAGAGATGTTCAAAATGTTGGAGGTAGGGTTCTCTCCCCTGCGCCCCATCGTCCGCACTCTTTGTCGGGCCGCAATGCCGGCAGGGCCCCACCGACACGTAGGCGGGTCTGTGCGTACAATGGCTTCGATGCTTGGGAGGAGCCGGCGACGAGGACAGCTTGCTTCAACTATGGCAAGGGAACGCCCTGACGTGGCGACATGCAGCGAGAACGTTCTGCTCGCATGTTGCAGTGTAAGCCTTGACTTCTCAGTCTGTATGCTACTGCCGCCGCACCTCTGACGCGCATGGCGCGCTGGCACCTTGGGCAGCTCCGGGCCTCACTGTCTGGGGGCAACCGAAGGATGGTCTCCGCGGGTGTTCACATGGGCAATATCGCACCCTGGCGGCAGAGAACATACCACACGGGAGAACACACGGGAAACCATGCGAGAGAACATGCGGGAGGCAACGAGGGAGACAAGGCGGAGACCGTGCGGGAGACCATGCGGGAGGGAGACCGTGCGGGAGACCAAACGGAGCCCTGCACGGGAGAGCATACGTGGGAGCGTGCGACAGAACAATCTGGACAACACGGGAGACTGAACAGTAAACCATGCGGAACCCCACACGGGAAACCATACGTCGACGAGCGCGTTCCACTACTCGCAAAATAACTACTCGCAAATGGCCTGGACCCCCTGCGGGGGATCTACGATAGATTACATCAAAGCGGACCTTTTTTTTCGGACGTTTGCGAGTAGGCACTTTGCGAGCAGTGGAACGCGCTCGGAGAATTCCTCAGGCAATGCAGGATACCACACGGGAGACGGGAGGCCGTGCCGGAGACTACGACGGAGACCGTGTCGGAAACCACGGGCCACGGACCACCGAAACTGGACCCGGATGGCCTCATGCGTGGCGCGAAGCATTGAATAGAGAGGACCCTTCCAGACAAATGGGTTGGGAAAGCAGAAAACATCAACAAACCTCGGAGAGGAGGGAGGTGCACTGTATGCACGATGCCCTCTCTCCCGAAGCGCGATGAAGGCGCAGCGGAGGGGAGGCCGAGCGGATTGCAGGACAGAACATGGCTGGGCGAGCGCATTGGGAAACTTCAGCGCGATCGAAGAAGGCCCAGCCCGTGAGAAATTACAACCATAATTCTTGACCCAAACTTTTTCTGGCTTTTCTCCCGCCAGGAGATCATGGGGCCCGAGCCCATACGAAAACGCACCGTGCAAGATCAATCAACATCGGATCGGGAAGTTGGATCGAATCAAAGTGTGGGTCGGATTGGGCTGCATCGGTACGAGGTCGCAATCGAATCAGATCGGCGAGCCAGAATGCGCAACAATGCGGTGCATCGGATCGTCGGAGGATTCACATCTACATCGGGCCGGGACAACTGGATCGATCACATCGAGGCGGACCCTGCTGTGAGGAGATTGCGAGACTAGGATCTCCAGAGGCACAAACAACTACATGAGCATAAACTTTCAGAACTCCTCGCAAAATTTAGGTCGGGCCTATCCCCCTACCGGCAGATGTTGGGCGAACAATTAACAATACTTTAAAAGATACCCCCAGTACATTCATAGTCAAAACATCGCCCCCCGACTATGTTATACTTTCTTTGAATATTCCTCCTGCAGAGGGACATGCCCGACTTAACGCAAGTTCCTCGCATCGGCAACGGGCACCCTTCCCTGGCGCGGAGCGCGCCAAGGGCTGCACCCGAGGCGCCGCCAGGCGGGGGTCTGAGGCGCCTCGACCCGAGCAATCCGCACAGGACGCTCAATGCTTATTTCTATACGTTTTTTCTTCTTCGACCCTCTGGCTTGATCGGGGGATGTGTCCATCTTCCATCTCTCGAGCTATTCCTTCTCGGGCCGCCCGGCGGAATTCTTTGCTCACAAAGCTGATGTCGACGCAGCCGTTCTTCTTCGAATCTCAGAGTCCAAAGGGGATCGATCGATTCCGATTCTCGAGCTGCTTTTTCCTGGCCGCTCCAGCGAAGTCCTTCTGCTCCACCCTCTTCAGGAGGCCGTCGCGCTCCTGTTGCTGGGGGCCGGCCATACGCCGGTGGGGAGGGTCGCCCCCTCTTCTCCTCCTCCTTGAAGGGACCCTGGGACACACAAATACATAGACACAAGTAACTGGATTTTCCCATATTTTCTGGGTGTTCGTCTTCCCCCCCACTTCCAGTACTTTCCTATATGTTCTGGGGAATCGACGAGTAATTGTGTCTGTGTGCTTTTTCCCTCCTCCTCCTCCTCCTCCGGCAGACATCCCAGCTGGCTCCCTCCTCGCCCGCTCCATCCGCCATCGGCTCCCTCGGCTCAGGCCGTCGAGGGCTGGCGACCACACGACGACTGCGCCAATGGAACAGAGAGAGGAAGAAAGAGATACATGCGTATGTACATACACGTGTATATATAAATATTGAAAGAAGGAGAGAGAGAGAGAGAAACAAAAAAAAAGTTGAGCAGGGACCGACCGTCCCGGCATTCCTATAGGCCTACTACGACATGTTCTTAGAATCCCAAACTGTTACAACAACAAAAACAATGTTCTTAGAACATAAGCCCGATGTGTCAAAAGAAAACAGTCCCAGCCAGAAATGCTCCAAGAACATTTCGTGGAAACCACAAAAGGTTCTTAGCATATTCCTTGGCAGGCCGATAGGCGAGCCCGGACGCTTCGCCACTGTTTGAAGAAGAGAGACAGAGAAAGAAACCGGGGAGGAGTGAGGCGCGGGACCCACCTACGGGCCGCGTGTCCAGCCCGCCGCGCTTCTGCGACCAGGGGCAGGCGCACTCCCCCACACCACCAGGAGTGACCGCACGCTCCAAGCGAGGGCCACTCCTGGGGGAGAGGGGGTGCGCCAACTGGGGCCTGTAGACTCCCCTCCTCCTCCTCCTCCTCCTCCTCCTCCTCCTCCTCCTTTTGTTACCCCGACGTTGGTCGAGAGCGCTCCTGCTGAGAAACAGGGAGTGTATCCAAGAAGACAGCAGGGTGTGCGACCAGTGCGTGCGCAGCAGGAGAGAATAGACAGGCAGGGAAAGGTGGAAACGTGGAGTAGCCGCGTAGCCCGCGAAAGCAAACCAGAACGCCTGCAAACCTTGGACCATCGACCTTCGACTAACGTTGCCCTTGGGCACAGGCGCCCTCTGTGCGCCCCCCGTACTTGCAGGCGCTGGAGGCGCCGCCAGGGTGGCCCAGCGCAGACACGAGAAATCCAAGCGGAGCTCCGAACATCCATGTTTGTGATCACCCTGGGCCTCGAACGACAGTCGAAAACTATCCTTTGAACAGATCCTTCCCGAAAACGATCGAACTACTACGGAGGACCTTAGAAAAACGATCGTCGCACGGGGGCGCCCAGCCCATCGAAAACCCACAAGAACCAACGACACCGCCCGAAAACCTCGAACCTCCCTCTCCCCTCCCCCGCCATCGCTCGGACGTCCATTCCCTGTGCATTGTTCGGTTTCGCCCGTGTGCTTGTTCGCAAGGTGAACAGCAATTCCCCTCGATGGTCCTTGCCGAGAACAGATGCGCACACCCGACCAGCCATAACTGGGGGAGCTGTGGTCCTTACCCCCCTGGGGGAACCCGTCGCATCGACGATCTCTCGAGAGGGGTGTCGAAATCGATGGGCCCCCCAGAGGGGTTAAGGACCACAGCTCCCCCAGCTGTGGCTGGCCTGCACACGTCTGAGCGATGCCGAGCCCCCACCCTGGTTCTTCGGCGGTCGACCTCCGACGAACGCTGCTCCTGGGCACGGGCGCAAAATGCGCGCCCCGAGCCGAGACACCGTGCTCTCACCCCGAGTCCCCTCTGACTCTCCTCCTCCTCCTCCTCCTCTTCCTCCTTCCTCCTACTCCTTCGCCTCCTCCTCCTCCTCCTCCTCCTCCTCCTCCTCCTCCTCCTCCCTTGGCCTCGTCCTCGTTCCTCGTCCCTCGTCCCTCATTCCTCGTTCCTCCTCCTCCTCCTCCTCCTCCTCCTCCTCCTCCTCCTCCTCCTCCTCCTCACCACGCGGTGCCGTCACCAGCCAGCCATCGGAGCAGGGCGACTTGAGACAACGGCAGCTCAAGATCGGTCCCCGGACACCGGACCCCTCCCCGGGTCCAAATGTAGGGGACCGAACTCTGTACACCGATGCATTTTGCGGCACTGCACTGGAATTTGCACAGGAAAGCGGATCCTGATGTATACGGGATCCTGGTCTATACGTCTTCCGTTGTTTCCCCGGGAAAGCGGGGAAACAAGGATACACCACACCACCCCGACGTCGTCCTCGACCTTCAAGAAGTCCTGGGATTGAAAAACAGCCCGCCAAAAACAGCCCGCTACTGGTAAGGTATGTGCGCCTTCAGAAGACGCTCCTGGGAGCCTTTCGTAATCACCTGAGTGGCAGCTGTGGCTCCTCCAATGGCCACCATTGGACCCCAGCGGCCCCCCGCAAGCCTAGAGCCGCCTCCAGTGTCTCCTCCAATGGCCCCCCCGCGGTCTCCGATGGCCTCCAGTGGCCTCCCGTAGCCCCCAGTGGCGCGAGCAAACGACCATGGACCACTGGAGGCGCAGGAAAGCCATGCCAAATGACTATCAGAGGCTCCCAGTATCGTCTTCTGAATGCGCCAGTCTCCGAAACTGCACCCAATCGTCGCGACGTGTGGGCCTCTCGAAGGCCAGCTGCCGTTGTCTCAGCTCGCCGTCCTCTGTGCGTTCCGTCACGGCGAGTACCTGCGCTCGGCCAGCACCTCCCTCCCCAGACCCCCGACGTGCTGATCTCACAGACGTGGGCCCCCAAAGGTCTCGACCCATTACTGAAGGGACCCAGGGATACACACACACAGATACACACCAATGACAGGATTCCCCATATTTCCCCATATTTTCTGGATGTTCGTCTTCCCTCCCACTGCCCATACGTTCCCACATTTTCCGGGGGATCGACCGTTAGTTGTGTCTGTGTTTTTCCCTCCTGAATTGCAAGGGACCGGCTTCCTGAGCAGCAGTCTGACGCTCCTGGGGCCCAGCGAGGCCCCTGTGGCAGCAAAAACAACGAAAAGACCTCCGTCGTGCTTTCTCACCCCACCGTCCTGGGATCCTCTTGGAGGCCTCCCGAGGCCTGTTGGGGCGCTGGGTGCATCTAAAAACAATGCTTGAGTCATCTGGAACCGTCTGGGACACTCCGATATCTGGAACGGCGAATATGCGACAAACATGTAAGCGTACAACCACCAGGGGAGAACCTGGCTTGCCTGTTGGGGCCCGAAGACGGCCGGCAACAGCTCCATCGAACCCAGAACCTCGAGCATCCCCCTTCCTTCCTGCTGGCCGGGACCACTGCTGGGCCATCTCAGACCCCCAGCTGGCCCCAACGCCCAACATCAGCATGGATCCAAGTTCGCCCCCCCCCCCCCCCCGATCTTTGGAAAAACTGTACAATACCAAAGAACAAGTGCTGTCCAAAACCAGCAGCGGCCGCTGTTGGGTAGGCGGCCTTCTGTCTCAACTGGACAACGTCCGCGGCGACGCCGACAGCGAGTCCTGTTCAAAATGGACAGGACCTGCTGTCGGACTTCGTGCCCATTCCTTCTGTACCCATTTCGATCGTGCCGATCCAAGCTTGGGGGCTCCTATCTGTGCGACCTGGAATCGGCGATGCGTCGCGGATAGATTGGCAATAGGCCCCCGATGGCGAATCCACAAATTCCTGGGCCTGGTGGGGCTATCGGACCGCTAGCGGCGATCCATGGGCGATTGGGGGTCGATGTCTCCCCACTATGCCTGACCCCCCCTAACATTGCCAGCTCTCCGCTGGACCTTCGGGACGATCCCAGTACCCAGAAAACGCCCTCGACGAGGCGCAGCTGATGGAAACCATCCCGAGGCTGGAGAGCAGCCGGGGCGAGGCGAGGCGAGGCGCCGGTCCGTCGTCCCGGCGGGGGACGGCCCAACGAGAGCCCCGCTGTGGCGCCGGAGCGCCGAGAACCGAGGAAGGTGCATGAGGATCTCAAACCTGTGGCCCCTCAGAGGTACAAGAATGATCCCCCCCGAACGTCCCCCCTTAGGGCGACGAGATCTATACATATCCACTGCTCCTGGCCAGGCCCATCCTGGGCCCAGGAGCTGTGTATATGCCTCCCTGCCCAGGCCAGGAGGCCTGGCCAGGAGCAGTGGATATGCATAGATCTCGTCGCCCTACCCCTGAAACTTCCCTTTCTTCTCCACATCCCGAACCTTTCGCGCAGCAGTTGCCGCCGCGGCGCGGCCGCGGAGACCGCCGAGACCGCCGCTGCGGCCTCGACGGCGGCATCGACCGTAGCCGCTCTGGCGGCTGACGCTGCGCGGCAGCTGCCGTCCCGAAGGTGCGGAACAAGGGAGGTGGAAGGTTGTCGGGATCCACCGGGTCCACCAAAAGGGGGGTGATCCTGAGGGGGGGTATGAAATCGATCCGCTGGTGCACTGAACTACCGCAAACAAATGCCCCCCGCATGCCCCACCTATCGGCAACTATCGGGAGCTGCCGGCGGCTGGGGGGCATCTGTCTTGGGCGGTTCGGTGCAAAAAACGACCGCACTCACACACAGACAGACACAGACAGACAAAGACAGACACAGACAGACAAAGACAGACACAGACAGACACACACAGACACAAACACACAGACAGAAACACACACACACAAACACACGCACAGACACACACACAGACACACACAGACACACACGCAGGCACACACAGGCACACACAGGCACACACACACACAGCCACACACTCACACACCAGGTTACACACCCCCTTTGCGGGATCCGGGCCCCCGATCTGTGCACGCCCCGGTCCTGTTCCAGGCGCCGAAGCTCCTCCGCCTGCTCGGGGCTCAGGTGCGCCGCGGCGCCGGCAGACCCTCCACCGCGCTCGGCCTCCTGCAACTGCCGCTCCTCGGGGGGGGGGGGGCTCCGCAGTTCCGCCGCCTTCGACGGCTCGAGAGAAGCAAGAAGAAGAAGAAGGAAAAGGAGAAGGAGAAGAAGGAGAAGAAGAAGAGAAGGACCCGAAGAAGAAGAAGAAGAAGGCGAAGGATAATGATAAGAAACAATGCTCTCGACGGACGATGTGTGCTCACTGTTGGCCTCCTGGAGCCCTCGCCGGGCCCTGAGACCTTCAAACATTTACTCGGGATGAAGAACCGCTCCCAGGAAAACGAACCAGACCTCTGCTTGAATCACCGCGGTGGCTGCTGAGGGGATAAAGGGCCTATAAGTGGATTGAAGGGTGGTTTGTACGTATGTGTGTACGTATGTACGTATGAATGTATGCATACATGTATGTCATGTATGTATGCCACGTGTGTGGCTATGTGTGTATGTATGTATGTGTGTATGTATGTATGTATGCATGCATGCATGCATGTGCATGTCCGCATGATTGTTTGCATGTGTACACAAATATTTATAGATACGCACATATATATATTTATACATATACATATATAGATGCGACGGAACACAAGCCTTACGCGAGAACACATAGCGGCCTCACGCTGCGGCTCACGCGGCCCACCAGCGTGAGATTCCAGGAGAAGAGGGCGCTTACGTGCGACCTCACGCGGGCAGCTCACGCGCCACTGCCCGCGCAGTCGTCCCCGATGTCTTCCGTCGCCCGTCTGAGGCCGCCCTCACCAGGCGCACCATGACTTCGCACCCCGGTTCGAAGGAGGGCCTGCCTGCGGGGCTCAGAGAGGAAGGCAGGCGAAGGACGCCTACGGCGACGGCGACAACTGTGCCGCGCGAGGCGCAGCAGATCTGAAGAGAGGAAGGAAAGCTGCATTGACATGAACGTTGGGAGATCCGCGCGGAGCTCCGAACGTGTATCTTCACGCCGAGTCTTCATCGAGAGGAGGGAGACGACGGCGACGGCGACTGCGACGGTGCTCCCCCCCCAGGCCCAGGTTGGGCATGTCCGCCTAGAGGGGGATTTTTGACGAACAATTAAAAATACTCAAGACATGTCCGAAAATAGTCAAACAAATACTCTAAACAAAATCGTCCCCAGACTATTGTTTGATTTTTGTTTGAATCTTCCTCCTGTAGAGGAACACGCCCGACTTACCCCTAGGCGGAGAATGAGCAGGACTGGGGACACCAAAAGATACCGATACCGCCACTCCACGGACATCTCCTGGGGCCCCGGCGTGCGTCCTGGCCAGGCCGAGGCCAGTGCAGCCCTGGCGCCGAGGGCTCTCCAGGACGAACAGCGGTCAGTAATGGAACCGAGCCTCCTCCTCCTCCTCCTCCTCCTCCTCCTCCTCCTCCTCGCTCCTCGCTCCTCGCTCCTCGCGCCTCGCGCCTCGCTCCTCGCTCCTCGCTCCTCGCTCCTCGCTCCTCCTCCTCCTCCTCCTCCTCGCTCCTCTCCTCCTCCTCCTCGCTCCTCCTCCTCCTCCTCCTCTCCTCCTCCTCCTCCTCCTCCTCCTCCTCCTCCTCCTCCTCCTCCTCCTCCCTCTCCTCCTCCTCCTCCTCCTCCTCCTCCTCCTCCTCCTCGGCAGCGAGCCCCAGGGGGGAAGTGAGAAGGGGGCAGGCCCTCCCAGAGGGGGGGGGGGCCTCTCGCAAGCCCTCCGGCCTCCCGAGGAGCCGCCTGCGGCCTCGGAGGAGGCCTCGGAGGTCCGAAACGCTCCTCGGGGGGCGCGGCGAACGCTCCCGAGAAGCCCCGCCGCCCGCCGAGGAGGCCAGGCCCTCCGAGGAGGCCTCCCGCGAAGCCCCGCCGCCTTCCGAGGAGGTCTGCCCTCTCCCACCTGCCGCCCCCCGGGCCCGCCGCCGATCCGCAGGGCGTCGGCGGCGGCCGGCGGCGGCCGGCGGAGGCGCCACCCCCGAGGCGGCGAGGGCTCTCCAGGACGAGCAGCGGCATCTGATGGGCTTGTTTTCCACGACCACCACCATAAGTTGGAGGGGGAGGGGGTCTCCTCCTCCTCCTCCTCCTCCTCCTCCTCCTCCTCCTCCTCCTCTAAGTCCTCCTCCTCGTCCTCCACATCCGTCCCCCCCTTCAACTTATGGTGGTGGTGGTGGTGGTGGTGGAAAACAGGCCCATCAGCATCGGTATCCCCAGGACGTCCAGTGCCTTGCTTTGCTCACCACGGGCCTGGGCCCACGAAGCCCCGACCCCTTCCCCGCAGCCGGCTTCTCGCCCCGAGTCGTTTTGTTGAGGGTCCTGGGGGTCTGGTCCTGGCGAGGGCCCCTGGAGCCCGAGAAGAAGAATCACGAAAACAGATCACGCCCGTCGTGTTTTGTTCGCGGCCCGAGCTTGTCTGCGTCGGTATCTTCTGCTCCTTGAAAGGACGGGGCGGCCGCGGTGGCGGGCGGCGTCGGCAGCGGCACCCTCCCACCGACTGCCCCCAAAGCCCCGACGTCATGGCTTTTGTCACCAAGTCGACCCCACGAGCCGCTTTCTGGACCGTTCCGGGGCCCAGCGAAAGCGCCAGAGAGTGGGACAGAACCCTTCACCATGCTTATTTCACGACACGAGCATGGCTGGGTCGGCTCCCCTGAGATCCGACGTTGCGAACAGAATTGCCACATCGCAAAAAAAAACACTGGAGCCCTGGACCCCATCTGTCTGCCTCACTTTTCTTCCAGCCAGATCGATCGGTGTTAGGGTCCCGGGGCCCGCATAGATGCCTCCTGGATGGGGTCCGAATAGATGGGGTCGGAGGATCGCGCCGCATCGCCGATGCATCAACGATACATCGACGATGCATCGACGATGCATCGGCGACGTCGGCGATGCATCGGCGACGTCAGCGTGAAGAACATCGGGCTCCGCATCGGCGATGCGGCGCGACCGACCCCATCTAACCCCATCTGGGAGGACTAGGCCGAAACGGGGCGTACACGCCCGGCGTGACGCAGTTGCAGCGCCAGGGTCTCGGGGCCTTCTCTCCTCCTCGCGAGGACTGGCCGGGGCGGCGGCGGCCAGCCTCGCTCAGGTCGGGCGTGTCCTCCTACCGAAGGATTTTGGGCGAAAACTATTAAAAAATTTACCCGGCACGTGCTCCCAAATGCTCAACTGTACCCACAAAACATCGCCCCTCGATTATTTTTTGGCTATCCTTGAAGAAATACCTCCGGTGGAGGGACAGCCACGCCTTCAGGCCAGCGGCGTCGGCGGCGGTGCCCCCCCAGCCGCTGGCTCCAGCTCGCGCGCCTGCTGCTCCAGGCGCGCCAGCTCCGCGCCGCCCCCCGGCGCGCCCGCGTCCGGCGCGGGCGCCGCCGGCGGGGGGCCGCCAGGCGGCCGCTCGGCGAGGGCGGCCAGCGCGGCCTCCGACTCCTGGAGCTGCCTGTCGGCGGCGCGCCCACGAAACACAGCCGCCACGGAGACGCAGCACAGCAGAACACACACACACACACACACACACACACACACACACACACACACACACACACACACACACACACACACACACACACACACACACACACACACACACACACACACACACACACACACACACACACACACACACACACACACACACACACACACACACACACACACACACACACACACACACACACACACCACACACACCACACACACACACCACACACACCACACACACCACACACACACACAAACCACACACACACACCACACACACACCACACACACCACACACACACACCACACACACACACCAACCATCGAGAGGCAGCAGGAAACGCAAGACGCACACGAGGAAGACGCAGCGGTTGACGCACGCGACGGAGACGAAGCGGACCAGGAACGCAACGGAGACGCAGCGGGACACACAGGGGGGAGTGACTCAATCAGGGAGGAGGTGGAGTCTCCAACAGAGGAGGAGGAGTTTCCAACGGGACCTGCTTGACACAACTTCCAGGGGGAGGAGCTTCCAGCAGCTTCCAGGGGGAGTGGCTCACCCCGTCCTGTTGGAAACTCCTCCCCTTCCTCCTCCTCCTCCTCCTCCTCCTCCTCCTCCTCCTCAGAGGAGGAGGAGGACGAGGAGGAGGAGGAGGAAGAGGAGGAGGAGGAGGAAGAGGAGGAGTTTCCAACATGACCTGTTTGGCTCGTGGAGGCTGTTTGCCTCCCAGACATCCGACGGTCTGATCTTGCAATGCGCGGCCCCAAGGGTCACGACCGAATCCCTGGGATTTCTTTTGAAACTTGCTCCCCGAACCCATTTTCGATGGCCCAAGGCACGCCTTTGAGATAACGTGCACTGGAGGCCCAAAACCAGGATACCCGCCCGGATTGAGAGAATCAGAATTCCCAGACCCCCGACGTCATGCTTTTTCATAACGTCGACCCCCAGAAGGTCTCGACCCATTCCCCAGGACGAGCTTTTCATCCTGAGTCGTCTTTTGCAGGTTCCGAGGCCAGGTAAGGGCAGATAGAGGTTGAATATAGCGAAAAACCTTCAGTCGTGATACTTCCCATGACTCGAGAAGAGGCCTCCTGATGGGATTGGAGTAGATGGAGTTGGAGGATCGTACTGCGTCGCCGACACATCGGCGATAAATCGCCGATGCATCGGCGACATCGGCGATGCATCGGCGACCTCCATTGTGGAGAAAATCGGGCTCTGCATCGATCCGCATCGCCGATGCATCGGCAATGCGGCGCGATCCTCCGACCCCATTTACTCCGACCCCATCTAGAGAAAACCAAACAGCACCGACACCGTTCTGACCAGAATTTCGAGGCGAATCCAACGGTGGCGCCGAGGGCCTCCCAAGCCCAACAAAGGGCAAACGAGGGGAGGGTAGAGTACCTCCCCCTCCTCTGACATCTAGGAAGTCTAGATCGAAGGGGTCGGGCTTTCCGGGCCACAGCTCGGGCCTCTGGCGGCCGCTCCTGGCGCGCGCGGGCCGCTCGTGAGGCCCTCGGCCGGCGGCCGTTCGGCGGCTCCTCCTCCTCCTCCTCCTCCTCCTCCTCCTCCGCCTCCTCCTCCTCCTCCTCCTCCTCCTCCTCCTCCTCCTCCTCCTCCTCCTCCTCCTCCTCCTCCGCCTCCGCCTCCTCCTCCTCCTCCTCCTCTCCCTCCTCCGCCTCCTCCTCTTCCTCCGCCTCCTCCTCCGCCTCCGCCTCCCCCTCCTCCTCCTCCTCCTCCTCCTCCTCTCCCTCCTCCTCCTCCTCCTCCTCCTCCTCCACCTCCTCCCCCAGTTCCTCGTCCTCCTCCTCCTCCTCCTCCTCCTCCTCCGCCTCCTCCTCCTCCTCCTCCTCCTCCTCCTCCTCCTCCTCCTCCTCCCCCTCCTCCCTCCTCCTCCTCCTCCTCCTCCTCCTCCTCCTCCTCTCCGCTTCCTCCCTTCACCCTCCTCCTCCTCCTCCTCCTCCTCCTCCTCCTCCCCTCCTCCTCCTCTTCCTCCTCCTCCTCCGCCTCGTCCTCGTCCTCCTCCTCCTCCTCCTCCTCCTCCCCTCTCCTCCTACTCCTCCTCCTCCTCCTCCTCCTCCTCCGAAACATCACTTCATCGCCGCCTCCTCTTGCGACGGAGCGCGTCGATTTCGCATGGAAGCGGGACCCGTCACTAGTCCACGTTGCCGAAATCCACGTTTGCGTTTCCTCGATCCTCCTCTCTTTAGGGGCAGATTCCCCGGGTGCTCCAATAGGCTTACCACGATATTGTCGTAGGACACAAGGAGGTTCTAATCACAGTGGTGGTATTCGCAGAACATAGAGAACTGACGCCTTCAAACGAGACTGTCCCACCAGAAATGTCTTACGTACGAAAAATTCTTCCGAACCGCGAAAAGGGTCCTCAGACATTTCTGGGTGGGCCTACAGGAAGTCAAAGCCGCTTCGTCACTTCTCGATCCTTCCCCTCCCTCCTGGCTGCCCCCTTTTGGCGGGGCACCCGCGGGGCGGGGGGCCCACGCAGGGGGCCGCTGCATTGGGGAGAGAACCCCTGTCTCAGACATTAACCTGGGGCGGCCAAGAGGGGGGCGTCCGAGAGGGGGGGGGCGCAAATCATGGCCGGCGGCATGTGCGCGGCCCAGGGGGGGGGGGTGCAGGGACGTAATGAAATAAGAAAAGGCGCCATGAAATCTGAGGAAATATCATGGCCCTCGCCATGACATCCCCCCCCTAGTCATCGCCCCCCCCTCTTGGCCGTCCCGGAGTTCAGTACCCTGATTGTTTGAATTCCGGGCCCCTGGAAGTCCCCACCCTTTCCCCTGGGCTGGCTGATGCGTTTGTGACGGCCCCGGGGCCCGGCGAGGGCCTCCAGAGGCCGAAGACGACGAAAACCTGGGTCTTGTTCTCTTCGATGCCTCCGAGGTCTGGGCCAACTCCCCTTGTGCGCGACAAACAGATCTGTGCGTATCCGCGGCCTCGCGGGTCGGGCCCATGGGCCGCGACCCCGCGAAATACGGAGCGCTTGATGCCCCGCGCGGAATGCATCCGTGCGACCGCGCATCCGCGGGAGCGCGCAACCGGGATCCAGACCGCGAGGGCGCGGATACTACATTCGCCCCTCGTGATCCGCCTCCTCCTCCTCCTTCCTCCTCCTCCTCCTCCTTCCTCCTTCCTCCTTCCTCCTTCCTCCTTCCTCCTCCTCCTTCCTCCTTCCTCCTTCCTCCTTCCTCCTCCTCCTTCCTCCTTCCTCCTCCTCCTCCTCCTCCTCCTCCTCCTCCACCTCGAGCGAAGCAGGGCCGCCTGGCCAGCTTCTTCAGCTGCTTCCCGCTCTTCTCGGCGGCCTGCACCCGCCGTCGGGCCCTGGCCAGCTCGAGCCTCAGACCCAGCTCCTCCACAAGCGCGGCGCGGAGGACCCTCCTTGGCATCCTCGCGTTCCTCCTCTTCGAGTTCATTTTCCCCCTCCTCCTTCGCCTCCTCCTCCTAGGTGGCTTGGCAGCGCGGCCCGCAGCCGTTGCCCCGCGGCGGCCGGCCCGCGGCGCCATAGCCCCCAGGCCCCACGGAGGGCCGCAGCAGCCGCCGAGAGCGCTCCCCTGCCTGGCACCGCAGGGAGCGCAGGCGGCGATCCAGCGCCAGGAGGCGCCTGAGGCAGAATAAGGACTTCCTCATCCTGCAGCAGCACCAAGGCAGCATGGCGCCGACCATCCAGTGCGCGCGCACGGACTGCAAGGGTTGTGGTGACTACAGATGGGGAAGGAAGAGCTGGTGGTGTACAAAATGCTGGAAGACGGTCAGACCGCAACCGCAGGAGGACACCACCAAGCCTAAGTACGAGACGCAGTGGCCGCAGTAATGGACCAAGAAGAAGCAGTGGAAGGGCTGGCAGCGTCAAGGCCGTTTTGGCGAGTGCAGGCGAAGCGACGAGGACGCACAGGACGTGAACGTCGACTCCCTCACGAAGACGCTCGAGCAGCTGGTGACAAAGCTGAGCGGAGGCCCGACCAACACGGCGATCGGGAACCACGTCTCAGCGTTGGCCGCGCAGATCGCCAAAGAGAAGGCAGCCCAGGAGCAGGCACCGCAGAAGTCGAAGGCCATAAGACTCGCAGAGGCAGCCAGAGAGTTGGAGCAGGCGAACAGGCGCTACAACCACAAGCAAGCGGTCTACGAACAGCACCTGGCAAAAGGAAACCGACTGCGCCTCGAAGCAGAAGAAGCAGAAGAAAAGGTCCTTGAGTCAGAGTACGCGATCCAAGGAATCCATGAGGAATCCACGGGCGGCAACCACCAGACACAGGGACTGCTGGAGCAACTCATGCAAGGGGACATATCGAGACTCACGGGGACGGCCATGAAGAGCATAGAGGACGAGCTGGCAGCGGTCGACGACCTGGACGGAGAAACCATAGCAGAGATCGTCAAAGCCAAGCACGACCTCATCCAGAATATGAAGAACACAGCGCAGACCTTCAAGGGGCACCTCGACACCTTCGTGAAGGACACCAAGGAGCGTGCCAAGGAGCAGCGCAAAGAGATACGACAGAAAACAAAGAAAAGAAAGGCAGACAACGGACAACCCGCGAAAGAAGAATAATCCACACCTGCAGGCGGAGAAGCCACAAGTGCATCGAGTACCACGCCATCACCAGTGGAATCGAAGACAGAGACAGGCAAAGACAAGAAGTACACGGAGGACATCCTGGAGAAGAAGAGGCTCGCGAAGGCCGCGGGCAAGGGCATGATGAAGGAAGAACAGGGCATCGTGTCGGGGAGACAGCGGAGAGCCGACGCTAATCCCCAACGACATCTATTCTTCGGCAACTATACACAATGGGGGCCCAAGGCGCACAATTGGTTACGGAAAGCGGTAGCGAAGAAGCCAGGGGATGACGGCTACTTCGACGCTTTCGCCTTCCAGGAGACGCACCTTGGGCACGACGAAGTTGAGCAGCACGAACAGACTCTACACAAGATGGGGTTGAACGCAATCGCAAGTGCAGCCGGGCCTTCACGTACATCATCAACGGGGACCTACGGCGGTACGAATATCGCGATCAGGTCACATCACCAGGCATCGACATTCAGGGAGATAGCCTCGCGGGAGTCATTCAGCGGCGCCACAGCTGGTACCCTAGACTCCCAAGAGGACGGGTTGCAGTTCTTAGACTGGGTGCCGATGGCATGGCACCTTCAAGGTTTCACATTACTAGTTATCAGCATCTACATAGACGGCAACTGCGCGATCCTGAACGGCACCAATGGCCGCAAGATCGCCACGCTCACGAGTTTCCTCGTCAGCATCAGTCAGCCATGGGTCATAGTATAGTGGGCGACTGGAATCACACGCCGAAGCAGATATGGGACACTGGTTGGCCCAAGAAGATCGGAAGCAAGGTAATGACCTTGCCAAGTGACTCATGCACATGTTTCAAGCGCGGCAGCGAGCCGGCACTCATAGACTTCGCGCTGGTCAGCTACAAAGCGGAGCGCCACATCAGCCACATCATGGAGATCACGGACGTACCATGGAGGCCCCACATCGGACAGTGCTTAGTCATCAACGGGGCCATCCAGTACAACATGGTAAGAACGCTCACAATGCCGCGGCCATTCAGACACCCGAAGTTTGCCAAGCCCCTGCCCAACCCCGACAGTAAGCGGCAAAAAAAGCTGAGCAAGCAGAAGGAGTCGAAAGGTCAGCACAATGAAGTACACCATGAAGCAGACCCACTACCACGGGAACCCGCACAGTATCTCCATCGACAACAAAGGCAGCAACTGGCTGAAGCAGCACGCTTGGAGGCGCTCACACCATGTGGATGGACAGGGTTCCCTTCGGAGGCTGCTATCAGTGAGGAGGGGAAGGCGAACGCCCACGAGGCCAAGCCATCCCCACCTCGCGGAGGTAACCAGGCCGGCTGGCAGGAGGAGGGCATCGACCCCTTCGACGAGCTAGAGCACCACCTGGACATAGAGGAGCACGTACACGTGCAGCAGGACAGCAGCGGAGGCCAAGAGGACCCTAAGCAAGCACAACCAACGGCGGAGGCCCTTCTCGTACAACTGGGAGGCGACACCGACCAGGAAGTCGAGATTGAACGCAGCCCACCGCAAGAGCAGTACAAGCCAGAACACGACAGACCCACCACTTGCATGGACGACCTCTGGCACTGCATGACGCTACTACCGACGCACGCTACCACCGCGAGCACCACACCACCCATAAGCATTACAGAGAGCGCCGCCTACAAAGCCACGGGGAGCGAGGCCGTGGAGCTGGGGGCACAGTACGCGAGGCTCATGCAGGACATGGAGAACTTCTACTGCGCGGCCTACCACATCCCGATCAAAGAAAGAAACATGTTCAAGGGAAGAGGCCTGCCGAACGAGCTCAAATGCAAAGAACAGAAGGAACGAGGACCCAGACATGCACGCTACACGGACCACAATGCAGACTGGTGGCACAGGACGGCTAACACCCTGAACACCATCGAGCAGCTCAAGAAACGCAACCGTGGGAAAGAAATGCAGGATAGGGCAGCCACTACGTGCAGGCTGCTCGCAGTGGAAGGACTACCACCACTCGGACATCAGGCATCAACAACGGCAAGACTACACAAGAAGATTTGGACGACACGGCTACTCAACATAGAGTAGCAGGACATTGACATAATAGAGGGCATGCGAAGGCAAGCGGAGGAACAAGCGCACTCGGCGCTCAAAGACGACATTGCGAAGAGCAGGGAGGCATACATCAAGTGGATCACGGCGACAGCCGAGGAATCGCCAGGGAAAATGCACACTATCACGAAGGACGGGAAGCGCTACGAGCAGGAACTCTTGCACAAGATGGACAAGAAACACTCTCCTGTAGGCAAGTTGGACACCAAGCTTGCAATATTCGAGAGCATCTGGTGCAAGGGACACAGCACTGCAGACGTGGAGCTTCTCCAAGACCTACGACGGACAGCACAGCGGACAGAGACACCGACATAGACGCTAGAACAGCTAGACCAAGCACAACAGGGCACGCCAGACAAAAGGAAAGGGGTAGACCAGATGTGCATGACGGACCTACGCCGACTCCCACCACAGGGACGCAGCAGATTCGTGCACCTGTACAACGAGTGCGAGAAGGCCATCGCATGGCCCTGGCAGGTCCTTGAGGCGATCATCATGCTCGAGCCCAAGGGAGCCAGCCAGCCCTCGCACCACGCGGTCAGCACAGGTGGAGATAGAGCATTGGCACTACTCAGTTGGTTTGGCAGATGCTGGGAACTGCTCAATCGTGAGCAAGTACGAGACTGGGTTAAGGAGATCAAGATGCCGTGGGACGCCGCGGTGCCAGGACAGAGCTGCCGACGGGAGGCCATGCTCAGAATCATCGACGACGAGACCGCGGACGCCCTAGGAGCAACGACAGCAGGAGCCCTCATCGACATCAAGCGATTCTACGACAACGTCGAGTTCGAGTACACAGCTCGAGCGGCACAACACTACAATTTCCCAGCCCGCATCCTTGCCATGTCACTACTCCAACACATGACGTCGAGGCTCCTTCGTCAAGAAGGATGCTACAGCGAGCGCGCGCTGGCCAGCAAAGCAAGTCCCTTTTGGCGGGCTCTAGACACAACAACAACCTCGCACGGGCCCTGGTCTACGTCACGATCACCAAGCACCTGAACGAAGAGCCGATGTCCAACCCCAGAATCTGGTTCGACGACATCAGCCTCAGAGCCACAGGCAGCCAGGCGTCGGTGGAGAACGACATCGTGAACCATGTTGCGTCCCTCAACGCCCAGCTGACGAAGAGCAACCTGAAGATGGCAGCGAAATCGGTAGTCTTCGGCCCCGCTAACAAGAGCGCAGTGAACATCACCAAGAAGCTCGCCACGCACAATATCAAGGTCAAGCCAGTCAAAGAGGGGCGGGACCTGGGGCTCGACAGAGGTGCAAAACTCACCACATCACGTGCGACACACAGGGCCAGAAAGATGAAGGCAGGAAAGAGGTTCAACAAGGTAGGCAAGAAACTGAGGCAGCTGAACACCAAGCAGATCAAGGGCACCGTGGAGCAAGGGGCGATGGGATCAGTGCTCTACGGGTGCAAAGCGTTTGGCAGTCCCCCATCAGAAATCAAACACATCAGAAGACAATATGGCAAGGCGCTCGGGCGAACGTGGACAGGAAGATGCTTGAGTACTCTACTGGCGATAGAAGGGAGCGACCCAGCACGAACGATACCACGCGCTCAAGTCGCTACTTGGTTCGACTTATGGGCGAGACACCCTGGGATCCACGAAGCAGTTCACAGAGCCTGGCCGATCATCCGACGGAGAATGCTACAAGGCACGCGCAAAGGAAGATGGAGGAAACGAAGGGGCATCATCGG